ATTAAAATATAAAACTTGAGATAAAGTTATTTTTTAATTTATTTGGTGCATTTTAAGTGTATTTATTTAATAGTTCATTTATATAATTCTGCTTTTATTTCTAATGATGTCAGTGTTGGTCCTCCGTACTGCAGAAGCCTGATAATCATCCTTCATATCAGGTGTGTTGGAGCAGAGGAACAGGTAAAACCTGCAGGGCTGCGGCCCCCCCGGACCAGGACTGCCCACCCCTGGGTTAGGTTTTGTTTCAAGGCTTATGTCAGTTATCAATCTTACAAAGGAAAAGGTTTTGTTTAATCTGACAGTGTGTAATTTATTAGAACATTTTTACTTGTTTTTGTGACYTCAGGATAAATAATTGTCACACTGTGATATTTTTATATGTTTTTATAAATGAAACCTCAGAGCAGGAAAGCTGGACGCGTCCCCCTGGGCTGTGAAGAAGATCAACAGCAGATGTGCGTCCAAACAGGCAGKTGTGTATCAGCTGCGTCTCAACGAGGAGGCAGAGATCCTGAAGGGAATCCACCATCCAAATATCGTTGGTAAAACTAAATATATATTTATTTATATTTTTAAAGTTCACCAAATGTTTGCACTGCTTTAGGACTTAATTAGTGCAAAGAGAAAAGGATTGTAAAAGACTCAGAAGAGACTTTAATTAGAAAGTGATGACATATTTTGGATTATATTAGAGAACAACCTTCAGCTGCCAACACACCGATGTTTAGTTCATTATCCACCAAATATACACAATTATTATATTTTAGTCTGTCTACAACAAACACACAAGGRTGACTTACTCAGATTAATAATGTCAGCTGTCAAATAAAATGTTTTTAAATGCTTTGTGTTAATTTAGAAACACTTGCAGTGTTTTTAAGCTTTAGTGAATTAGGCAGTTAGGAACTAAATATAATGTTTAAATAAAACATTTCAGAGGTTTTGTGTTGGATTTGTTCAGCTAAAGTCATAAAAACATTTGAGGTAACAGCTGATGTTACATTAATGTTTTACAACKTAAATCAAAGGTTTATGTGGGAATAAATTATATCACAAACAACTAGACTGCAAGCAGACACGTTTCTGTTTTTAGTTTATCATAAACACTTTTACTTCAAGAAAAGTATAAAAACAACAAAAGATTGTAGGATAAAATTACAGTCGTGAAATTAATCGAGTTAACTCAGATTAATTTTAGAGCTGCATGAGCGTAAATTAAAATTATAATCACTTTACTCTGAATCTGTAGGTTTGTATTTTACAACACACTCAGGTCATGACTGTAAATGAGAAGTGGTTCTCAAACAGTTTACCTGCATAAATAAAGGTTAAATAAATAAAATAAATTAAAAAACTCCATGTGTAACACATTATGTTCAGTTTATTTTCTTTTTGCCTTCTTATTTTATTTTATTTATTTAAGTTTTGCTGACAACTGTGACCTTAGTATGTTTCATTCCTCATGTAGAACTCATTTAAAACGAAAATCATTGAATTCTTGATTTAACCTCATTATTTTTGCACAAAATGTAACTAATTCAAATATGTTTGGAGCATTTTTAGGTCCTGATTTATATTCAAAAAATCATGTTTAAGCA